CTGCAGGGTCTCCCTCTGAAGTTCTGTCCCCCTCCCCTGGGCAGTGTGGTGCCTGAAGCTCAGTGTGGCAGCCCCAGGTGACCCGTGAAACCCTCAGTCGGCCTGGCCCCCCAAGAAGGAGCAACCAGTCCCCCCCCCCCCCACACTACACACACACTATTTCGCTCCCGAATACTTTGCGGAACAAATCAGAGTGAAGCGGGAGCCTTGGGGCCCTGCACGGAGCCGCCCACACCCGCTGTGTGGGTCCCAGGGGTGTGGAGGGACCCTTCGGCCTCCCACTGCTGGGAACAGCTGTGCCCAAGTGGCCGCAGCCCTGAGTGTGCGGGGTGGGGAGGGGGCCGCCTGCCTCTGGGGGGAGGACCACCCCTTAGCCCCGGATGAAGAAACACCCTGTCGTCATGAAGCCATGGGGGGAGTTGATGTTTTTGTAGGGGCTCTATTGGAAAAAGAAAATCTTGGAAGCGTTCTAATTCCAGCCCTCCAAGTCTTTCTGGAAACTTCCCTGCTCCCTGGATTGCCCTGCCTGACACCCCTTGGCTGTGTTGTGCCTCAGTCAACGGCACCGGTCTTTTCTTTTCTCTGAGGTGACACGTGTAGAGCGCTCATGGCTCGTCCCCCAGTGAGGCCCCCGGAGCACCTCGCAGAGGCCACTGGGGCCAGGCTGGGCGCTACCTTCCTCTGGGTCTCATGGCAGTGAGTGCTGCCCAGTTGTTATTTAGTGTCCCTCTTTTGCAGGGCCACGCAGGGAGCTCTCTGGAGGAGGCTCCTCCCCCGGCCCATCCCCCTGCTCCACCTTGGACGTCTGCCCAGTCGGAGGGCGGCCTGCAGGCGCCTCCCTCTGTCCTGGAGGCCTGGCCAGCGGGTGGGGGCGGGGCGGAGGGCCGGCCAGGGCCTGTGGGGAGGGCCGCCCGGGCAAGGAGGGTGCTGGCCCAGGTGCATGCAGGCCATGCGGGCAGGGGGCAGCCCGCCTGGGTGTCGGTCCAGGGACAGGGGGAGGGCTGGCACTGGGGGTGACCCCTCACCCTCAAGGGTCAACTGTCACCCCACTTTGCACCACGGCTCTCTTCAAAGGGCACCGAAAGTAGAAGGTAACATAGGGAAATTTACAAAACTTCCCTAAAACTGACACTACAGGGGTTATAGTCCTTGCGCCCCAGATGGGGAAACTGAGGCTCGGCCAGAGGAGACCAGCCCTGCCTCAGCGTCCCTGGCTGGAGCCTGCCCAGCTCTGGAGCTGTGCCCTCCAGCAGCCTGGGGAGACGAGGTGGCCCATCCACCTGTCCCGGACCCGAGCCGGGCCTGATCAATCACCTATCCTATAACGCTGACCCACAGCCAGGCCTGGCCCGCCAGCCACCACCCCTTGTCCAAAGTCCAGGGCAACTCTGCTGCTCGCTTGGCTTGGGACAATTTTGCAACTGCCGCTTGTCTCTGAGTGCAGGGCCAGGAGAGGCCCGGGCTGCCTCGGCCGCTGCCTTGGGGCCACAGCAACCGCTGTGGCCCTGGTGCACCTCATGTCTAGTGCTCTGAGGACGCTGTGGCCACGCTCCGTCTTCATTCCGTCTGACCTGTCCTTCGCCTCACTGAGTGATGCAGCCTGGCCCCAGGCTGCTGGCCTGGCCCACCGTGTGCTGAGTGAGCAGGCTGGGCCCCCTGCCCTTGGCCCGAGCACCGTCCAGCGAAGCCTTGCACCTGTGGGGCGACCTTCCTTGGTGGGGGGCGGGGGGGGGGGATGTGGTCTCTCCTCTGGGCAGACACTGAACGGCCTAGGTCCAGAGTCAGACCGAAGGCTTCTGTGTGGCCCAAGGCAGGCTGACGCCCCTCTGTGGGTCCCAAGGTCCCCAGCAGTCACATGGAGGTAGGCATTCCTGCCCAGGGGAGCTGGGCACTGTGCAGCTGGCAAGCCAGAGGCTCAGGGACATCTCAGAAAGCGACGGAGGGATCCAGGAGTTCTGGAGGGCAGGGTGCAGACAGCCAGACTTCCTGGCTTGCCTCTGAAGGCGGTGGGCACCCCTCCCCCGGGAGCAAGCAAGCCGGAGCTGGACAGGCAGGTGCTTGCGAAGGCCCTGGATCCCCTACCCAGGGGCCCTCACGAGCCACGGGGCCTGGCACAACCCTGTTGCTTACCCAGCACTTTTTGCCCACCTCACCTGTGCTAAGCTCATTTGGGGGCATTGGAGAGCACAGACAGGCACGGGCAGGCAGGGGTGCACGGGGGCACCGGAGCATACCTGTAACCCCTGTTTTAGCGATGAGGAGGTGAGGTCACCCGCCCCAACACCCAGGGTTAATGGGGCCTCAGGGTCCACAGCACTGCTCTGCGGCCCACACGCTTGCGGCCCTGGCAGCCAAGAAGCCAGCGGCGGTGGGCGGTCCCTCCCGGCGGGGTGGGGGGCGGCGACAGGGGCGGGCCGGGGGCGGGCCAGGGGCGGGCCGGGGGCGGGCAGCCCGGGTCCGGCTGGGAAGCTGCTGAGGAGGAAGGAAGGGACCGCACGCTGCAGCCCCTGGGCCAGGCACTGGCAGGGGGCGCCAAGCGGAGCAGTGGCCGGCTGGAGGTCCCCCCGCCCCCCACCCCGGGAGGGGCAGGGCCCGGGCCCTCCCCTGGGCGGGCGGGGTTGGGACAGATCAAGACTTCTCTCCGCCTCTGGCTGCAGGAACCTTCGGGCTGCGAGGGCGCGAGCCCTCCTCCACCAGGCGGAGGCTCCGTCAAGCTCCTTCACCCCACAGCCTCTGAGGAGCGCTCCTCTGGCTCCGGCTTCACAGCTCAGGTGACATTGTCGCTCAAGTCCCCACCCCGTCCTAATGCCCCCGCGCCCTGGGCTGCCCCGCGCCCTCACCCCGGGGAACACACGGGCCACGCTGCCGACCGGGCGGGAGAGGGTCAGCGGGGCCGGAGAGCGAGTTCACGTCGAAGCAGCTGCTTCGGGTGGGGGGAGCACCGGCGGCCCCGCGGCACTGGGAGAGCCCCAGGCCCCGTCCCCGCCCCCCGGGAGTCCCCGCGGGTCACCGGAGGGTGGGGAGGGGGCACGTGGCGGCCCCCGGGGCGGGAGGCACTTGAGCTGGCAGGACGGGAGCGGGGAAGCGGGCGCGGGGGCGGATACCCAGCCTTGAACGTGCCCCACGGCCACGTGACGCCGACTTTCCACTGGCAGGGCGCCGCTGTTGGGGGTTCCTGGAAGATTAGGGCACTTTGAAGACAGAAGGTAAGTTCAGATATGTGCCCGGGGAGCCCCTCTGTGGGCAGGAGGCAGGTGGGCCTTTAGACGGGGGGGGGGGGGGGGGGCGGGCTGAAGTGCCTCGCTCCCCGGGGGCGGCTCTCCCGGGACCTGGTGTGGGGGAGGGCC